CCGGCAAAATGAGCGGAAGTCTACAGGAGACTTTTTTTTATTTTTTTTTAATTTTAATACCTTCTGAATGGATAGCCGCTGCGTAGGCTGAAGACCAGGCAGCCTGAGGAAGCAAGGTAAACTGTGTTTTTTTTTTTTTTTGGGGGGGGGGGRGGRGGTGGTATTCCTGAGAAATGGATTGAGACAGGGGTCCTCACAATTCAACCCTGTAAAGCTGGGGCCATTACCCAGTTTCGGTTAATGCTGCTGGAAAGCGGGTCCAGCGTCCCATCCACTTCTCAATGAGTCCTACATGCACATGAAGCTCAACTAGTCTTAACTAATTCATCAAGAAACTGCAACAATCTATGCAGAAGAACTACAAAGCTGGCCTAAGCCGGCCCAACTGCAATCAGGTCATGTCACTGACAAAACCTATTTGCGAGGATCTGGGTCCTCGGCAGGCCTAAGGGCCCCCTGTTGCATCTGTGCCCGCCCTAAGTGAAGGCGGGCCTAACAAATTACGAGAGGCCCTCAGCTGTCAATTTCGTATTTGGGGTCCAGGCAGTTTCGTCGCGCCAGTTGGTTGCGGAAAACACAGGCCAAGAAGCAAGGAAATTCCACGGCCTTCCAGGCTCTTCCGAAAGCACAGGCCCTGGACGAGATTCGCAGCCTCATACACAGACAGTTGGGAGGCCCAACCGAACGAGGCCCAGTAGCTGCACCAGAGGCGCAGCATCCTGGGGCCTACCGGAAGCTTCTTGGCCCAGGCCCAGGCCAGCCAGGCTGCGAAGGCAGGCCAGCTCTTTCCATATAAGGAAGAGCTCGCTGCCTGGCCAGGCATTCGGGCACTCGCATGTTGGCGGCAGCGCTGCTGGAGCTGAAGCTCGTGGGCTGCTCCTAGTGCTGAGAGGCGAGGTGCAAGCACGTGCGGTCGTGCAAGGAGGAGGGCGCTGCTGAGGGCAGCGCCATAGCCCAGCCTCCATAGCTGGCAGGGCTTGGATGTACAGTGAGGCGCAGGGGTGGTCTTCGGGTATATAGAGGGAAAACGTGGGTGTAAGACGAGGAAGAGAGAGAGAGAAGGATGATGATGATGATGATGTGAGGACACATACCTGGTATTACCGTTTTGGCGATGGTCTGCATGGGGGACAGCTTCAAGTACTTCGGAGGCTGCTGACGTCAACAGTTGCATTGTCAATTAGTAGGCTCGTAGTAGCTGTGTAGGGAGTGGGCTGGGCGCCAAGCGCCAAGTAGGGAGATAGGGACTGGATACATATGTTGGTGGTGGCGATAGCAAGCTCTCATTGACATTGGTTTTCAGTGCTAGGATTCTCCATTGGTATCATATTGGTCCAATGCTGCTTTCTGAACACTGTGATATGAACTGGCTTTCAATGTGATTGTGCAATCTGAATATTGTCATCTCTCTTCTGTTCATTTTCCTTGCATATCATCAAGCAGAGCCTAACCCAGCTCCTGAAACTTTAGTTTAGAAATACTGTCATTCGTCTTCCAAGTTCTTCAACACCATGACCGTCTTTGGCAAATGAGAACTTCATCTGCAGCCAGCCCGCTGATTTACTGTCATATGTGCCATCCGGATCTTACAACGCGCCAGTGTAGTCTGCATTTTTCCTGATGTTCACTCTGTTCTGACTTTCACCGATGTTCACCCTGTTCTATCAACAACGACTCGTGTTGATCTTCCCATTAGGAGTTCCTCTCTCTCTCTCTCTCTCTCTCTCTCTCTCTCTCTCTCTCTCTCTCTCTCTCTCTCTCTCTCTCTCACATGGGGTTTCAACTTTCAACATGTAATTTTTGCCTTGGGCACTGGGACCACAATACAAGTTCTTGGTTTACTTTTTTGCCAAAAAGGAGAAATTAATAAATTAATAATTATGCAGTTCCTTGTGTCCCTTCTGGGGTAACCTTTTTGTTTTTATTGAAGACAAATCTGGACCTTATGGGGGTGTCATCCATGCGCAACGGCCATGCTAATTATTTGTTTGCGTCGTTCGAATTTTAACGGATGTCTCGAGGGAATGCCGTAACCTTTTGCCATGGCCCTCTGCAGGAACACTGACTCGCCATTCGCTCTGCTCTAACTCGTTTTTTTTTTTTTTTGGGTTGCCACGGTCATCTACGCTACATCATCCCTCAAAAAATGCCCAGTCAAAAATGCTGTCTGGCCTCCAGACTGCACTGATCCTGCCCTCTACGTTCGCCCAGTAGGGGTTGGCGGAGACCAGGGGACTCACCTGTTGACTTACCTGTGGCGCCATAGCTCCTGCACCAAGGCAACACCTTTCTGCAGGTTAGTGCCTGGTACACATACACAGAGAGAGAGAGAGAGAGAGAGAGAGAGAGAGAGAGAGAGAGAGAGAGAGAGAGAGAGAGAGAGAGAGGATTTCTTCTTCTTCCTCTGTCTGTTCTCCATCGCTCCTCCACTTTCCCTGCAGAGCTTCTTCGCTGCTGAGGTACGAGAGAGAGAGGGAGAGAGAGAGAGTTGACATTGAGACTCGGTGACTTTCGGGGATCGCCCGATTCAGTGACATTGCGACTTGAACTTGTATGAGCAGCGGCATTGGGGATATATTTGAGACTGGGTTCATAGGGCTATGGTGGCTGATCCTCCCTATTCCTCCACCCTTCATCTCTTCTCCCCCACCTTCGTCTGTGTATGTGTCCTGGCTCAGCGCTCCTTCTATGCTTGTGGCATGAACCGTTCACGCAGCTTACGATAGTTGGAGTCCAGTCCTGTCATTGTCCATGTTGAGTCAGATCTTCGTATTTCAGTCTTCCGCTGTGCTATTTTCCGTATTGTCTCTGAGAGGTCGGTTCTTGGTTCTGATCGATGCCGATTAGGCGTGCGACACACGGTTTCATTGGTGGGGTGAGGAGAAGCTGGTGGTGGCGGCCAGATTCGTTCCGTCGTCTATGCATTCGACTGCACAAGCGTGTTGATGCAGATGGGTCCTGCGGTAGTCTGAGTAATGGATTTGGTAGATTTTGAATAAACAGTGACAGCGTTCGACTTTGGATGTAATTGAGTTTAGGTATGTCTATGCCAGGTTGTGAGAGAGAGACTCTTTGGAGAGTGGAGAGCTAGAATGCACAGAGGCAGGATAGGGCGGCCGAAGGGAGGATTCGAAATCGCATCGGTGATGCGGGGACAGGGGTACGCCGTAGAGGGTATGGAGCCAGCATGAAGGCTGTGGCGTGCGATTTGAGTTTTCATGTCTTTGGTGGTCCTAGCGTCGTTGTGGAGTATAGCGGAGGCTCGGCGATATGCCCGCCGTCCTGGCTCTGCTCCCACGCCCGCCGTCCTGGCCGCTTCGGTGTGTGGAAGAGAACGGTGGTTTTGAGCCTCGGCTCTTTGGGTTGGTGTTTTAAAGCCATTTATTTCATGAATCATTGTTTTCGGCTTATGGTTTTTTCCCTTGTGTCTCGTACCTAGCTGTTATGTGTGCGTCCAGGATCTTGTCTATTGGTGAATCTCTCTATCCTGGCTCATGCGTGAGACTGTTTGCCGACAGTTTCTCTTCTCTTCTCTTCTCAGTGTCTTATGCCGAGATACGGAATTTAAAGCAGATCATTCTCGATTTTCTGCATCTCCCCACAAGCACGGACAGATTCAGGCGTCAAATCCGTGTCAAATCAATTCCTCTTTGCTAGTGGGACCTTACCCCTGAATCATGGTCTCAACTCCATGCAGTCCTGCCACTTGCTTGACTGACTTTGAGGACATAGCATCCCTGCCCTCATCAATGGACACAAACAAGCAAATGGGTTCCCCGCAGTAAAAGGAAAACAGAGTCCGTCACCCTGTCCGTCATGTGTTGAACTGGCCCCTGGCCTTAGTTTGGTCAAAAGACCCAAGCCCCCTTGGCCTCTGCTTCTCCCTCTTCCCCCTCTCTCCACGCACTCTGCTGGTGTATCTGCGACTTGTCCCACAATGGACAATACTGCATCTTATTGGCCCCTAGGCCACCAACACCCCTGGGCCCGCTGCTTCCCACTGCTGTAGTCATGGGGCCTCGCTCCTTTACTCACCACATGCACAAAAGACAAAAACATTGGCAATGTATCTTTCCATGTTCTAGAGGATTCTTCATTCTCATTTTTGCACAATTGGTGAGTAGTGGAGGGAGGCCCATGGGTTGCATGGGAACAAAAGCATTTGAGGAATCCACAGGTAGGGACTGCAGTCCTGAGGGCCAAAAGTCCTCACCTTGCGACTATCACGCGCAGGCCGCCGTGGTGGACCTTGCGACGATTACGGGCAGGCCCCACAGGTGCTATGCCTCAGGCTTGGGAACCATGGGTCTGGCCATGAGAATGACTACATTGACTAGGTTGGTGCTTTCCTAGTTAAGTTTTGCTTTCCCAGGGTGGACATAGCATGAATGTGGCCTGGCCCTCATTGTCAAATAGCTGAACACCATATTAAGCGCATGGGCAAAAAAGACCTCGCTACTGCCTGCTGTCTGCAACTCCTATTTTTCACTTTTTTTTTTAAGCACGCTCCAGTCTATTTGTGGGGAGCAACACGGGCAGGGAATCGGGCCCACCGTCCCATTATGCAATACGAAAAAACTTCAAAAAAGTCTTTGAAACTGGGAATCGGTTCCAGCGACCCTTTTGCAAACTGACAATTCCTAACGCTGGGAATCGGGCCCAGTGTCCCTTAAGTCGTCAATCACACTCTGTACTAACCCCTCCACCTCTTCGGCCGAACCACTGGGCCGCCAAGTCCAACTCTGCACTGCTAGTTGAGGCAGTAGTTAACACAACACACACACCCAGCCCCTTCTATTCTGGGGGACGCAGTCCGGTAGCTTATCACCGGCAAGCAGAAACACAAGGATATCATTAACAACTGAAATCAGGCGAGGAGCCAGGAAGGGAGTGACAGGCAACCGGGAGACTCCCCTGGGTACCCGGTCATTGCCTGCAGCGCCCGCCCCCAGCTCTCCGATATGACAATCAACTGGGGAAGCAAAACCCTAGGATGGTGGCTTCATCACCAAGGGGGACGCCCCTGGTATCACCCTTAAATACAATGGCTGCCTATGGAGGCCCTGGTTCAGGTTTTGGGACTACGCATGGCCGCGTATGGCAAGGCGGCTACAAACGATGAGTGGATCCAAATGCCGACATTGGCTAAGCTCTCCAGCTGGAACCGGAAGCATACCTTGATCTTTGGCCGTGCTGTGGTCATCAGTAGCGTGGTGCTGGCCTCCCTATGGTATGAGTCACTAATATGGCCACTCAGTCCACCAACCCTCAAGGCACTCAAAAGACAGATCACCGCCTTCCTATGGAGAGGGAATAATGAATGTGCACACGTCATAAGCCGAGTAGCATGGGACTCGATAATACAACCTGAACGGAAAGGGGGGCTGGGCAGCATAGACCCTCTCACACAGATCCAGACCCTCACATTGCGTTAGGGCGCTTATATTCGAAGTACAACAGCCATGGTAATCCTTGGCCCTGGAACAGATAGCCTGGCTGGCACCGGATGCCCCTCCCTCCATTGACCCATTGAGGTGGTTGGACGACAGATTTTGGAAAATACCCCGCAAAAGCCGGGACGGGTACGAGGAAGACCCAGCGCCGGATGACTTCTGGCCATGGCTAATCAAGATATGGCGGAGACTCCCTCCTCCGGACAGGGTAGAACCGTAGAGATGGGAAGAGATCTACAGACAACTGCTCTTTGGCAATCGGTGGATCACCAATAGCCATAGCCAGATAAAGTGCAGCACAGACTCGGCATGGAAGGGATGGGTGAAACACGGGGTAACGAGAGTGGGTGACGTCTGGGATAAGGAAACAGAGGATTTCAAGACTCCAGAGCAGATGTCTTGAGGAAGGGGCCAAGGGTCAGGGAGGGGAACTGGGTAATGAGGGAAGGGGCCTCAGACCACGTGGGATTGGGCGATATGGAAAGGGGGGAGGAGATTCTGGTGGAATTTTATACGATAGGAAAAGAGGATAGGCTGATTAGGTAGCAGGGATCCTTTTGTTTGGCTACACAAAGAGTGTGCTGGAGGATGGCAGGAACCGTCATGTGTTCCGACCGGGTACCTCAATTGAAGACCCAGCCATGGACCTATGGGAATGGCAATGGAAAATCCCGGGGGGATAAGGAGGCACTGGGACCAGGCAGAAAACCAGATGGCTGGAGAAGCTCACTGTCAAGAGCACATACAGGCACCTTAATGTGGATAAGCAACTGCTCCTCCCGATCAGATGGTTCGGGGACAAATGTAGACTAGCGAAAGCCACTTCCCTGCAGTGCCAAATAGCCCACAGATGTCTGCCCACCACCAACTGGCTGGTAGAGCACATGTCTCTGGAAACAGCAGGGACGGGCTCTACCGTGGTGTGACAGGTGCCTTCAGTGCTATCGGGCGCAGAAAAGACGGAAACCATCGAGCACATTTTTCTGCAGTGCCCGTCTCCAGCTTACCTGGCGTTGGTGGGACAGGATATGGCAGCATATAGTCCCGCAGTCATTTTGGCCCTGGGACTGGTGAGCCATCTTGGCAGGACTCTGGCCAGGTCAGCCCGACGGAATATTTGCAGGGAATATGTTCAGTCTAGGAAGAAAGACTGTCCTATGGGCTCTATGGTGGCAGCGCTGTGTATTGGGGTGAGAATAGAAGGGGGAGAATTCACAGAACAGATAGAACTCCAGTTTCAACTAGAACTAGCACACAGATGGCAAGCAACTAAACAGAAACTTGACCTCTTCCACACAAATAAGGACATCAAGAAGAACATCACCCGGCTCTGTCAAGACTGGCTGGGGGGAGATAAAGGGGGATGGGCGGCGGAGGTGAGCTGGACCGAAGGCATGACAGGTGGAGCACAGGGGGAGGAGGAGGAGGTGCGAAGCGACTACAGACTCCTCAAGCTCAAGGACTGGACAAGGATCAGCCCAAGTTTTCCCTTGAGATCGGCATCAGGGTTTCCCGAAATGTTTCCCCTACATCCGCTATCGCTGGTGGAAATTTAGTAGGCAGCGAACATGTATCAGAGGGTGGACAGAGGAGGAGGCGGAGATGAGGTGAGGGCCCCGTTGCCCCCAAGGACTCCACCCTTATCTCCACCTCGGGGCTCCGGGATGTACACTAGTACCGTCTTCACTCGAATAGAATGCCCCGTCATTATAGCTGCATCTGGTCTGGAAGTTGCCCCAAATACGGCTACAATGACCGTGCGTTCTATTTGGGTGAAGACGGTAGTTGACACTGGGCAACAGCCTCAACATTTGAGATGAGTTTTGAGTTCTTGTTGGTCCATCATGGGACTCTGGACCCAGTTTCCAGCTGCTTGGTTGCTGTTTGGAATGGGACACCGGACCCGGTTTCTAGCAGGTGTTGCTCCCCACCAATAGACAGGAGCATCCAGCAGAGAGCCTGAGAGAGGAGGGAGCTCGTACCACCTCCTCTAGCAGGTCGGGTCTGGTTTCTTCAGACAAAAAAAAAAAAAAAAAAAACGGATTCAGTCAAGGGAGTCCTTGTTTGAGTATGGCTTCACTTTCCTACCGCGTGATGTGTTGTCAATGTCAAGAAAAAAGTGACTGCCAAACAAATGATCAGTAAGCGATGTAGCTAACACCACCACCTTCAAAATTCCATCAAAGTTGTGGCCCCCTCTTTCCCCGACTTCCCCAAAACGGAATGCCTGCGCTCCTTCTCTTCCAGCAAACTGCACAACTGATTCCTCCGCACCGACCAGTCTGCCTATGGCGCACCCTCCCAAGCCCCGCCTCCGTCCCATTGCCAAAACAATTGGTTTGGTATAACATTGCATGGTGGTAGTTTGTCTGAGGCACGGATGCCTCATCTGGGGACACTTATCTGCGGTGGATGCCTTGTCGGGGGCGCTTATCTGGGGTAGATGCCTTACCTGGGCCGCTTATTTGGGGTGAGAGAGAGAGTAATAGCAATGTAATTCAGAGCATTAGTATTATGGAATAAATAACATTGTATGGAAGAGCGTGAACACTACGCCCTATCAGTCCTTCCACTCCATTCCGCTCAGACTGAGTGTCGAGCAATCCCTCGACTGTTCCTTAAATACTCTTGATAGCCTCAAAATACGCCTGGTCGTCTGAGTTCCTACGCAGAAAAAACGTGTCGTGCTATCTTCACGCCATAACCACTTCCGCCTGATGGCCTGATGGCAGAGATAGATCAGATCTGCTACGGTAGTCCTTGCATGCCCCGTGGCTTGAACCACTAGTACCTCCGCCAGTTGGGAAAATAGGGAGGCCTCGGGTGGGCCTCCGATCTTTCAGGAGGCCAAAATGAAACGACTTCCGCCCGATGAGATTTATCAATGGGGGCTGTTGTCGGGCCCTGGCCCCAATTTTTTAGGAGTTTGGGAAAACTGCAAGCTTTCCCTATTTTCCCAACACTGTCAGAAGTACTAGTGCTGTAGTGAAAAAAAAAAAAGTAGAAAGTCGGGCGAATCCGATTCCTAGCGCTCGAATATTCACCGCGTCGGTTCAGTAGTTCGGTCCGCACGTACTTGCTGCAATCTGGATGTCATCTTTTTTGTCGTTTTTCTTCTCCTGGAGACGCACTGACTGCGATATAGTCAGTGTGCACGACGATCCTCGGTGCTTCAAAGTAAGGCTCACACGTTCTAGTGTTCCCGGCCGCTGTTCTTCTGTAACGTACCTTGTACAGTCCTGCGAGATGAAGACTGAGCTTGGCCCATATCTCCCCACCCACCCTCCCTGCTACCCTTCTCGCTGCTTCGACAAACAGAAGCTAGGAAAATTGAGTGCTTTCAGTTCTCTGTGAAACGGCATAATGCTCGTTATTCGAGTTGCAGGATCCGATGTATTCGCGTTAATCATGTGCATTGTTCCAACAATAAAGGCCATCTTCTGTTCTTTCGAACTAATACGAGTCATATTTGGGGTGCTTATCTGGGGTCTGGATGCCTTATCTGGGACTCTTTTTTTTTTTAACTGGGACTCGAATCTGGGTCGGATGCCTTATCTGGGGTGCTTCATATCCTTGGTGGATGCCTTATCGGGGGCACAAATCTGGCTATTTGCTGAACCCTCCGAGTATCCGATCAAAAATAAACTTGAACGAATGCGTCGGTGCAGTCAATCAGCAGGGAAGGAAGTCTAAGTATGACTGTAAAGCCTCAGCGACTGTTGAATGTTATGAAATAGAACGAGGCTCTGTAACTTCCGCAGCTCAATCAATCCCTCGAACGACAACTGCATCTGCAGTGCCCCTCGCTTACTCTACAAATTTCCCCGTTCAATCGTCATCGCTACCAGTTGCTTCCACGTCACCAGCACTCCTGACTGCTGTACTGCATGCCCAGGCTGAGCTCCTGAATTGCGCTTACCCTTATGGCCTGTTGATACTGGACTTCCCGTCTCTTCCTGATGCCACCCCAGACGTCATTCCAAGCTCCTAGATCCCATTCACCTCCACTGCTTCGTTTATCCAGTGTGCTAGTGTGCTCCCTCTGCCTGCTTAACCCTTTCTACCCCTTCTGTCGGCCTCATCTGCCCTGCCTCTACCATCCTAACCGGCGATGACCCTGTTCCTGCTGACATTGTCTTCGCCGTTATACTGCTTTACCCCTTCTCCGAGTCCCCCTTACCTTGATTTTATTAAATTTATTCTCATCACTATGTTCTGCATCCCCAGCTACCGGTAATGCACCCTTTACGTCTGTTCCTTCTACAGCCATTTCTCCCTGCTATTTTGTTGCCGGCGTCTCAACTGCCTTAGAAAATGTTTCTTCGCTGTTTCCGTCCCCTGTTCACCTGCGATGTGCTCTGCACCGCTGCGGACTGCCTTTCTCTACCCACCCCTCTTTCACCCCACATTTGCAGCCACCTCGGGCTCTGGTTAGCTCAGCCACTCTAACGAACCTCACAGATCTTCTATGCCCCACAGATGGCGCTCGATAGCTGTTCAGGTCTTGACCTAGGCACAAGGGGTACCGTTTCGTTGGCACCACCCCTGCTCCTCACCTTCTCTGCAATGACTTGCTGATTTCTACTGCCGAGATTTACTGTGAGGCTGTACACTAACCGTAGGGTTAGTTTTATAATTTTGTTTGGCTGAGGGCTAACCGAGAGACCTGCCTGTGAGGAAATTCGTGAGGGACAGATCTGGAATTCCGGGAAAATACAGGCCCGGTACTAACCCGAATTTCTACAGCTACCCTAACTGCCTACAGCAGGCCCGGGCT